TCTCTCTCTCTGTGTCTCTCTCTCTGTGACTCTCTCTCTGTGTCTCTCTCTCTGTGTCTCTCTCTCTCTGTGTCTCTCTCTCTCTCTCTCTGTGTGTCTCTCTCTCTCTGTGTCTCTCTCTCTCTCTGTGTCTCTCTCTCTCTCTCTGTGTCTCTCTCTCTGTGCCTCTCTCTCTGTGTCTCTCTCTCTGTGTCTCTCTCTCTCTGTGTCTCTCTCTCTCTCTCTCTGTGTCTCTCTCTCTCTGTGTCTCTCTCTCTCTCTGTGTGTCTCTCTCTCTCTCTCTGTGTCTCTCTCTCTGTGCCTCTCTCTCTGTGTCTCTCTCTCTGTGTCTCTCTCTCTCTCTCTCTCTGTGTCTCTCTCTCTCTCTGTGTCTCTCTCTCTGTGTCTCTCTCTCTCTCTCTGTGTCTCTTGTCTCTCTCTCTCTCTCTCTGTGTCTCTCTCTCTCTCTCTCTCTCTCTGTGTCTCTCTCTCTCTGTGTCTCTCTCTCTCTCTGTGTCTCTCTCTCTCTCTCTCTGTGTCTCTCTCTCTGTGCCTCTCTCTCTGTGTCTCTCTCTCTGTGTCTCTATCTCTCTCTCTCTGTGTCTCTCTCTCTCTCTGTGTCTCTCTCTCTGTGTCTCTCTCCCTCTCTCTGTGTCTCTCTCTCTCTGTGTCTCTCTCTCTCTCTGTGTCTCTCTCTCTCTCTCTCTCTCTGTGTCTCTCTCTCTGTGTCTCTCTCTCTCTCTCTCTGTGTCTCTCTCTCTCTCTCTGTGTCTCTCTCTCTCTGTGTCTCTCTCTCTCTCTGTGTCTCTCTCTCTCTCTCTCTCTCTGTGTCTCTCTCTCTCTCTGTGTCTCTCTCTCTCTCTGTGTCTCTCTCTCTCTCTCTCTCTCTCTGTGTCTCTCTCTCTGTGTCCTCTCTCTCTGTGTCTCTCTCTCTGTCTCTCTCTCTCTCTGTGTCTCTCTCTCTCTCTCTCTGTGTCTCTCTCTCTCTGTGTCTCTCTCTCTCTCTCTGTGTCTCTCTCTCTCTCTCTCTCTCTCTCTGTGTCTCTCTCTCTCTCTCTCTGTGTCTCTCTCTCTGTGTCTCTCTCTCTCTCTCTCTCTGTGTCTCTCTCTCTCTCTCTCTCTGTGTCTCTCTCTCTCTCTCTCTCTCTCTCTGTGTCTCTCTCTCTCTGTGTCTCTCTCTCTCTGTGTCTCTCTCTCTCTCTGTGTCTCTCTCTCTCTCTCTCTCTGTGTCTCTCTCTCTCTGTGTCTCTCTCTCTCTGTGTCTCTCTCTCTCTGTGTCTCTCTCTCTGTGTCTGTGTCTCTCTCTCTCTGTGTCTCTCTCTCTCTCTGTGTCTCTCTCTCTCTGTGTCTCTCTCTCTCTCTGTGTCTCTCTCTCTCTCTGTGTCTCTCTCTCTGTGTCTCTCTCTCTCTCTCTCTGTGTCTCTCTCTCTCTCTCTCTCTGTGTCTCTCTCTCTCTGTGTCTCTCTCTCTCTCTCTGTGTCTCTCTCTCTCTGTGTCTCTCTCTCTGTGTCTCTCTCTCTCTCTCTCTCTCTGTGTCTCTCTCTCTCTCTCTGTGTCTCTCTCTCTGTGTCTCTCTCTCTCTCTCTCTCTGTGTCTCTCTCTCTCTCTCTCTCTCTGTGTCTCTCTCTCTGTGTCTCTCTCTCTCTCTCTCTCTCTCTCTGTGTCTCTCTCTCTCTCTCTGTGTCTCTCTCTCAACCGTCGGGGTGTGTCCAATATCTTCAAAGCTGGAAACCAACAGGGCTCCCTGAATTTCCCCTTAAAACATCACCCCCACCAAGGGATACTCACCTTCCATGGACCAAAAAGGTGATGTTTAAGACCACCAAAAAGGGAACTATAGGGACCCCTGACCAATCAGTTCACAACTGTGCATGAGTAGAGTTAGGCAACCAGTTATAAATTATATTTTTAGTGTTTGCTTCACTTTGAGTCACTGGTATGTAAAATCTATCAACTAGCGTGTGCAAAATGTATCAACTAGTGTGGTACTGCGGATGGACAAAATCCTGCACCAACCTAAAACCATGGGAAAACATGTTTGTTGGTATTTACAAGGGAATCATCATTCCATGGTTTCTCAGGTGGTGCGAAATGGATTTCGCAACCATCCACCCACAGTATGTCTACCCCAGTGTGAACAAAAGAAACTTCTTGAACGCGCCAAATGCCCAAAATGAGAGAATGAGACCGTCCCATTTCTTGCGCTAGGCTTCCGAAAACACAAAAAGACCCTTCACTCGCTGGGGTCGAAAAAAATTGTTCATTTTTTGGAGAAGCACATATTTCCAGCAGTTAGTCATGGATTCCGGAAAAAAAAGAAAAAAGAAGGAACAAAAAACAACATGGGGAACTAACACATATTCAGTTGGCCATGGGTCAAAATCCCAAGCCCGTACTTGCAGTGAACATCAACCAATCCAACCACTAAAATAGGAAGCCTAAAATGGGAGGTGAATTCACCCACCAACCAAAATGGTACCATAGGTTTTGACCCACAGCCATATGTCCGGGAAACCAACCGATGTTTTCTGTGACTTGCCCTTAGAATCCCGTGGAAAAAGGACCAAGTCCTTGCGTAGCCCACTGACACAAAGGGGTAAAGCCCCTATTCCTGCAGTGATCAATTCCCTGCAAAAATCAAAGGGAAAACCAGTTTGTTGCTTTACTATTCTGAAACGGAAGACATCTGAGTCTGTCTACCAGGCAGGTATTGGAGGATCAAGTCTCACCTGCAGTGCAGAACACTCAAAAGAGGCACCACAGCCATAAAATCAACCAGCCAGGGTTCCACTTTTTGACTACCCCAGGGTAGGCTCCAGTAGAGAGGTTAGAATAAGGGTACCAACTTTTTGTTCTTCTGTAGATTGTAGTAGTGGAACCCTCCCCCAAAAAAGGGTGAGAAAGGGCACCTAGCTGGGGGACCTAGTTGCATATCTTATTATCTCTATCATTTCCTTGCATATCTTAGTATTATTATCTCCCGGGAGTCTCCATGACCCGAAATAAAAATGGGTCCATGTCCAACCATTTTATTCTCACTTCCCAAGTTGATTGGCCAAAAAAGTCCGAGCTTTTTATTTACCACTAAAATGGTCTTCCCACAAAGTTTAAAGTTCATGAACTCAGGAAGTGAGTTTGAGTAGTGACCGAGTCACTCGCCCGTGTCTCGCCCGTTCGATTCCCCACTTCGCCTGGTCGGACTTGGGCTCGTATCGCTCTTTGCCCTGCGGCCGCTGCGCTTTTAGGCCACGCTTCGTTTTCCACCTTCCACGTGTGTTTGTTTTTCGCCCAAAAGGGAAAAAACAAAAAATATGTCCAGTAGGGAACTCGATTCCCCTTGAAACCAAGAGATGAACATTAAAAAACATATTATGAAGCAAATGGAAGCCAAGGTCGGCTTTGCACACAGACATACATATATATATATACATACATGGATCCAATATAGTTCGCAGGGGATGGTTTTGGTGGCAAAATATTTTGCGAGCGCCCCTTCTCGTCCCTCCCCTCTTTTCAACCCAGCTGAACATTTCAACGCCTCCCCCCTTGGCACCTAGTGGCAGGCTGGGACCTCGTGTTGGGCTTCCTCTATTTGGTGGTTTGGATTGGCAGTTTAGAGGTTGGGGGCTAGAGCTGACAAAACTCGGAACTTCCAGTGACAATCAAAACCTTTTGGTGGAAGCTTAGTAAGGGCCAATCTTCCTAACCCTTTACCTTGGCTGGAATTAGGACCCCAGCAAAATATATATATATATATATATCTTTTTGCCTGGTTAGTGCCAAAACAAAGGGGACCGGACCCCCCCAAAAAAAAAGAAGAAGAAAGAACTAATTCTGGGGAAGTTACATGGTAGATCGTGTGCCAAAGCCGATTGATTCTGACTCAAGTGCCATGGAAGTTGGACGCACGGCTCAGCGTTCTGGAAACGAATGTGGTGCAGTCCCAAGGCTCCGTTGACCTGTCTCCTCGTCTCCTCAAGTGGTCCTCCAGTTTTGAGAGGTTAGAATAAGGGTACCCCCTACTCCAAATACCCACTTTTTCTAGGGATTTTTTTTTTGTTTTCGAAAGCCTGGTTTTTCAAAAATCCGAATCTTTCCAGGGAACCATCAGAACCCCATCGGAAACAGCGATCGGGTTTTGAAAAGAACGAGGGTTGAAAAGAATGGGCAATCAACCCCTAGAGGTACCAACTTATGTCTATTCTAGTAGGGGAACCCTTCCCCCAAAAAGGGTGAGAGGTCGGGGACTACTGGGGGACCTAGTCCAGGACCCTGAAAAACTGGTTGGACATTATACAAAATATTTGGGGTCATGACCAACCATTTTTAAAGGGTTCTTAGGGAGACTCCAGGTAGGTCAAATCCCGACAGATTTATGGTGTCCGTGTTGAGTGCCTATGGATCTTGGTGTGGGCAGATACAAAACTGACGCTCGCCCTTTTGGGGGTCCCGAAAAATGTTGAGACAAGCCGCATATGTACCTCCTACTCCACATACCCTGCTTTCTTAGGGTGCTCCCGGGGAGGTACCGCTCTGACAGGGTCGGCATCATACATTTAAAAGAAAAGGGTCTTGGGTGCACGGGATAGCCCTAAAATGACCATCGTGCCCAAAAACAGCTCGTTTTCAGGGCCCCACTTACTCACCTCCTGAGTTTTCAGGGCTCCACCTACTCACTTCCTGAGTTGCGGACTTCAAACAACTTGTTGGGAAGACCATTCCTACTCACTTCCTGAGTTTGGACGTTAAGACGACTTGTTGGGTTTGGACCATTTTGGGGGAAAGCTTTTGCAACAAGTTTGGACTCTGCTTGGACCATCAACTCAGGAAGTGAGCTTGGCTGAGTCAAAAACCGACTTCATAACCTTTGAAGACTCACCACAGAAGGAAACCATTTTTTGAACTTCTGTTTTCTATTATTTTAGTTCAGTCAGCTTAGCTTGGTGGCTCCCAGCCATCCGGTTCCTTAGCTTTTTAAATTTAGCCTTGTAGTGTTGAGTGGTACTTTCCGTATTTAACCCACTAAGAGTTCGTCACGTTCTTGGCGGGGGATCCAACGAACACGGGCAGCCCGGAAACCATGAGTCAGCTCTTTTCTGTCGATTTTTTGTTTTTTTTAAGTCGACGGTGTCCCTAGAGCCCTCAGAATACCAAGGTCCCAAGTAGCTGGAGCCAAAGAGGAGCCCGCCCCTCGCCATCGCCCAACTTTTTTCTCCCGGACTTTCGGCCCAGCCGCCCAGCCTGGGGCTGGGACTGTGGGCCCTGACAAGCCGCAGGACACCATATGGACTGGGGGTCAAAAATTGGGTACCCCCAAAATGGATCCCTGGAAAATGGAACCAAACACATGGCCATGGTCCAAAACCGTTTTGGGATCCCATTTTGGGATAGGTGCACCACCATTTTAGAACCTATTTCAGTGGTTGGATTGGGATGTTCACTGGGGGCTAACCGGGGTTTTGACAACCATGGCCGTGCGTGTTTTTGCCGAAGCCTTAAGGAAACCACTCGCCAATAGGTTTGGACCTGCTTGTTCGAGGAACAGGCCGGGCATGTCTGCCTTTTTGTTCGCTGGGGCCACTATTGCGGGGGCGGCAAACACAAAACAGCTTGTTTCAATTGCCCATACCAGGCGTTGGAAAGCTTTGGATTCAAGAAAAAGGGACCTCAAACGAGGCTCATTCTGTGGACTGTTTCTAGGGGTGATCAACAGGAATCCTTACATTATACACCTGAACATTGCCTTGTAAATGGTGGTGTCCCTATATTTTGGTGGAAAAATCCATGCTTCAAATGGGCAAAATGTAATTGTTCAAGAGACATTGGGGTTGTGTCCCTGTAACCTACCAGTTAGGGGGTGACTTTGAAGAACAAATGGACAGAACTGTTGACCCCATACGAAGCCTCACTTCCGATCGAGTGGACTGGCCCCCACAAAAAAAGGTACCCAAAACTGTTTGTTTACGACCCAAATAGTCCAAACCCAAAAAGAGACTAAAGTCCATGAACTAGGGGAGTGAGCAGTTTATTCATAGGGGGGGCCCTCCAAAAAGGATCTGATTGATCTGATTCCAACGACTAAACCCAGAATGGACACTTTTCTATTAATAAACTGGGGTTGATTCATATGGGTCGGCCTCCGAATAGGGAGGTTCCCTCCCAGAATGGGTTGATTCATATGGGGTCAACATTATGAGTCGGCCGAATAGGGAGCCCCTGCCTTCGGGTACCTCCAACTTGAAGTGGCACCTCTTTAAGATACAGCACGCGTCGCAGTTAACACCTGGCATGAAACCGGCTTGCGCTCCGCGTAAAGAATTCAAAGGGCGGGTGTTGATTCTTGTTCATGCGGCCTTTTTTTTGGTAGGGATTGCGTGCCACAAATGTCCCGGCCAAAAAGAGAAACTGGCCCTCAGCGAAGAAAATGGCAAACACCTGCCCGGCAAACGTTCCTGGAACAATCAAGTCCAAACCTATCGGGGATAAGATCGGCATTGGTTTCTTAAGGCTTCGGCAAAAACATCACACCAGAAGGGGGGTTATCCCTTGACACGTATGGCCATGGTTGTCAAAACCCCGGTGAGCCCCCAGTGAACATCCCAATCCAACCACTGAAATAGGTTCTAAAATGGTGGCGCACCTATCCCAAAATGGTACCATTGGTTTTGAACCATGGCCATATTAAATCTCTTACAGGGCTTGACCGCAGCCGGGTAGCCCTTGCGTAGTTCAAACAAATGCCCAACTTGGGCCCCAATCGGAATCCCTTCTTCCATTTGCTTAAGCCCCCTGCAACAAAAAAACAAAAACGAAACAACTTCCAGTAGTCATAGGTTCCCTTTAAAACCAACAGGGGAAAATAAAATAAAAACAACAAGTCTTAAGCAAATGGAAGCCTTTGCCCAGTGGGGGATTCACAAAAACCAGCCAACACTGTTCTTGGCTCAGCCGGAGCACATCTGCAACCCGCAACACCAGGTTTCCATTAGTTCGGTCGTTTCCATGGCTCACTTGCAACGCTTCATGTTCAAGGGACACCCCTCCAGCCGATTTTTTTTTTGAACCGGCGTTTGCCGGCAAGCCCGGGAGTGGCTCCCCAGCTTAAGATGGGGGCTTGGACCCTACCCCAACCCAGCCACGTGCACCCTATTCCCGCTCGATTTAGTTGGTATGATGTTGACCCTCTGCTAAAAAAGGGATCGGAATTCCCTCCGGAAAACCGTTGGTCTTTGGGGTGTATTCCTTTTGGCTTCCCTTCAAAACCCGACCAACGAGGTTTTTTGTTTCACATGACGACACACCCAAATCGGAGCTTCCGGGGGTAGGAACTGCAACTAGGTCCTCCAGTAGAGAGGTTAGAATAAGGGTGCCAACTTTTTTCTGCAGTCTATTTTAGTAGTGGAACCCTCCCCACCCAAAAAGGGGCGAGAGGTCGGGCACCTAGCTGGGGGACCTAGAAAACACTCGCAGGAACCCGAATGCTTCAAGCCTCTTAGGGGGCTCCCCCCCTCCTGTTTGGACACATCTGACTATGACGCGATCGTTGTTTCCCCCGCAAAAATCAATGGTTTCCTGGAAAAAAAATCCTGGAAAGAATCTTAAAAGTGCCCCCAGAGCTTAGGGCAAATGACTCACTTCCCGACAGAAAACACCTCGGCCACTTGATCCCTGCGAACAGACTCCGCTCCTGGGACTTGGAGTCTTCGCCCTGGCCGAAGCGCAACGGAACAGGGATCCGGATGCATTATACACCTGAACATTGCCTTCCTGGGACCCCATATGGCCGTTTTTGTTTGGTCATACGCCTTTGACCGAGAAAAATGGCCATACATATTTTTACGGCTTTTTTTCAACAACATGTCGAAGAAAGATGGGTTTCATACGGGTGATTTACGCAAACGACCGAAAAATCACTGCCATACGGGCAAATACGGCCAAACACGGGAGTTTGACCGAAAAAAAACAGCCATACGGGGTGCCAGGTTGTAAATTGTGGTTTCCTGTTATTTTGGTGGAAAAAAGCCATGTTTCAAATGGGCCAAATGTATCTTTTAAGGAGCCCTGCGGAAGCGGACAGAAAACCAGACAAAGAAAACTTGGGGCGAGGCCGGGCGAAGGAAGGTAAGAAGCCGGCAAAAAAAACAACACGGTCTACCTGGAGTTTCTTTCTAAGGACCCTGAGAAAAAATGGGTGCATGACCAACCATTATTTTGGGGAATGATGCCAAATAAAGAAACCATAAGTAAAAAATCCCTTCCTTTCCATTTGATTAGGAATACTTGCTATTTTCCCTTGCGGGTTTTGAAGGGAATCTATACCTGGAGGCTCCCTGAGGACTCTTTAAAAATGATGGGTCATGACCCCTTTGTTTTGGGGAATGACCCACCATTTTTAAAGGGTCATGGAGACTCCAGGTAGCGGAAGCTCCTGGTTTACTTCACTATTGGATCAAGAATTGTTGTATTTTTGCGTTTCTTGGTCCTGTTCATGTTTACCTGGAGTCTCCATAAGGACCCTGAAAAAATGGTTGGTCATTGCCCAAAGTAAAAGGTCATGACCCCAATTTTAAAGGGTCAGAAGGAGACTCCAGGTACCACCGTAACCTCCAAATACCCTTTTGGCCTTTTTTCGGTGGGTATTTCTTAGAAACCCGGTTTCGGTGTTCCGTGGTACATACCGATCCCTTGATTGGTGGAGGCTTGACATGATAACAACTGAACAAAGCGGGTATTTGCAGTAGGGGGTGTGATTTGATTGCAACCCAAACGGTATGGGCTTGGCAACACACGGGCTCTGTGTTTTGCAGCCCCCTAGAAATGAACAGAACCAAAAAAACAACTACCTGGAGTCTCCATGACCCGAAATAAAAATGGGTCCATGAGCCTATTACTTGGGGTAGTCTGACCAATCATTTTTATTTCGGGTCAGAAGGAGACTCCAGGTAAGGTTTGCATGGAGAATTAAAGAATCGGCTCGGCCAAAGCTGAGGTGCTTGCCCGTGGTTCCTTCAGCCTATGGTAACCGAAATGATCAAGATACGTAAATCATGTTGACTCACTTCCTGAGTTCATGAACTTTAAACTTTTTGGGGCTGGACCATTTTAGTGGTAAATAAAAAGTTTGGACCCATTCTGAAAATTCAGGGCAGAAGGAGACTCCAGGTACCCACAAGAAATGCCAGGGACATCCATATGGGAGCAACGGGTTGGCATATCATTGCATCACCCTCGCCCAGCTGCAACCAGTGGCCCGAACCAAAGAAAAAGGGAAAAGGTCAAAAGGACCCATTCCCTTGTGGGATTGACGTCTTGCGGGACACCTGGAAACAACATGGGAAGAGGGTGGCACTGAACTGGAAGACTGCTTCTTGGTTGACGTTGGAAGGGGAGCAACAAATTGATTTTTTAGCAGTTAAGTGGATTTGGATTTCAACCACTCAAGCACAATAAGCAAAAATGCAACATGTTGCCCAACAACAACCATGGCTGTGTGGATCAATCGCTTAACTTGATGTTACTTCTCGATCACTACTCCAACTCTAAGGCTGAACTCTCCTTGCATGGATTCATAAAATATCTCCTGCCCTCACTCCTACCCCCGACTCCAAATACCCACTATTTTTAGGGTATCATGTCGACCCTTTACCTCGAAAAACCGGTCGGTTCTCCAAAAAATCAACTAGAGTAACTAGAAAAAGGCCGGGTATTTGGAGTAGGGGGGTCTCCATGGGTCTGACCCTTTAAAAATGGGTCCATGGCCAACCATTATTTTGGGTAATGACCAACCATTTTTAAAGGGTCAGATGGAGACTCCAGGTATGCCCATTCGCATGGAAGCCACACAGGGAAGGCTTCACAGTAGACTTCTCTCTCAAAGGTCTTGTCGTCGGGGGCGTGTCTCGAAGTGGGCGTGGGTCAAAATTAAGCCACCCGGAATTGGACCGCAGGTTTTGGTCGTTGCCGCTTAGGGTTCCATTTTGGGTACCTATTTTTGACCAGCCAAGTGGCTTCGGAAACGGAAACGGAATCAAACCCTGGCCGCTTCCTAAGAGCTCCTTTGGCTGGAAGAGGACCCCGGCAAAAAAAAACGAGATGCGTTTTGACTGGGTGGAAAACAAAGGGCCCAAAAGAGCGAAAAGAATCAAGAAGGGGAGCGAATTGTTGGGAAGCACTTTATGTCAGAAACCTCAATCAGCGCTTCGAGGTCACATGAAGTACCACGACCTGAGTGCCCAGGCCCAATGCTTCTGGTACAGCCGCGATACGCGCAAGGCGGGCAAACCAAGCCAGGAATCCAACTGAAATCAGAGCTGGGCCTTCTGAAAGTGTTCCCCCTACTCCAAATACTCTCTTTTTTAGGGTATGATGCCGACCCTCTACTAAAAAAGGAGGTATTTACCATAGAAGCCCAGGTTGTTCAAGAAGTACCAATTAAAAAAAGCGGGTATCTGGAGTAGGGGGTTAGCCAAACGGAAACTCAACTCCAGCAATGCTAAATCAAATTTGTGGAAGCTTATACCAATTCAAAGGGAAGCTCCGGCAATACCAAATCAAGTGGAACCACGGACCGACTCTCCTCCTGGTATCCTTCTGGAGCTTTGGAATCCTCATTCCCAATTCGAAAGTTTCCCTGACAAATATCTTAGGCTCCAACCCCCTTGTAAAATGGTTGCTGTACGTCTATATATAAGTACTGGCATAAACTACCTACTAACTGGTGCCTGAAGTGGATTTTCCATCAGCACACGTTGCTTTTGTTTCTCCTGCACAACGTACGGAACGTCGCGAGGAGGAGGAGGCCCTAATTTTGGAACATCCCACAGCAATGAACTGACCGAGTTTGGATGATGGAACTCCTTAGGATGCCTTTCCATCTCAAACGGTATGGGCTTGCAAGAAAAATACTGCTTTTTGCAGCTCCCCTCCAAACAAAAAGAACAGAACTAAACAACGCCTTAAACAAAGAACTGAAAACATGCCAACAACTGAAAATCTATCAAATCTGTTGTTTTGATATATATATATACCTGGAGTCTCCATGACCCTTAAAACATGGTTGGTCATCACCCAAAATCATGGTTGGTCATGGCCCCATTTTTGTTTCGGGTCCGATTCGGGAGACTCCAGGTATATATATCTATCGGCGTGTCAAAACCATTTGAGGAGTGCCGTTCCCAACTTTTGAGAGCATCGTGGCCATCGTGGCCGTACTCCAAAAGATCTGGCTTCAGACCATGTCCATTCTGAACCCGATGCTTCAGACCCAGAAAACCAGAACCCCAAACAAAAACAGCGGGTTCAAGCAAAAATGACAAAAACAATGTTTGAAAAGAATGGGAAATCAAACCCTAGAGGGATCCTTACACTATACACCTGAACATTGCAACTTGTAAATGGTGGTTTCCGTTTATTTTGGTGGAAAAAGAACCATGTTTCAAATGGTTGCAACATGGAAATTTATTTTAAGAAGCCCTGCCCTAGAAAAGACATATACTTTCTAACTCAGTTCCATATTCATCCATGGAAACGGTTTGCAGGCCTGGGGCTGGCTGCGGGGCTCGCGCCTTTCGCCCTGAGACGGATGGGTCGACCCCATTTCACCCTGGGACTCGTCTCCTGACTTTGGAACAACGAGGGACCACCCTTTCTTTTCTTGGTCGACGTTGGGTTTGGGGAGCAACAAATTGATTATTTAACAGTTCAGTTGGGATCTCCTACTAAATCACAATAAGCAAAAATGTTTAAAAAAAAACAAAACAAAAAAAACAGAAGAAAACAAAAAAACAGTTTCCCAACAACAACCATGTTTTGGGGAAGGACCCCATGGCTCGAGGGTAGCAGACGATTCCACCCACCGACTCATCTTCTGACACTGTGGAAAAACGAGACTACCCTTTCTTTCGGGGAAGTCCGAATTTATTTCAGGGTCAGAGAAAGAAGCTCGGAACCGTTCCAGCCCCTTTTTCGCAGTGAAGCTTTGGGACCGAATGAAAGGAACGCCTTTTCGCCTTGCCCGCCCGCCCCCAGCCCCCCAGCCCCTGGAACTGGAAACTCCAACCAAGGCGTGGCCCTGAGGCCCTGAGTCGAATTTTTCGATTCCAGCCGAGAGTTGTGTTTCTTTTGGTTCGGGGGGTGGGGATTTATGGTGGGGTTGCAACGGGCACTTGGATGTACACACGTCAAGTTGGAATGGACGAATTGGGGTCATGTCTTGGAATTGTGCCCGTAGCTTGGCTGCGGCTGACGCTGTCACCATTGTCGCGAGTGACTGCTCCCGATAGTAAACATAGCCGCCGCATGCTAGGTAACAACGGAATGCAACTTTCCGAGGCTTCCTCGAGCAGGTAACCCCACAAAGAGGTCTTGTTTGCTCAAAACCGTCCCCCTAAATGGTTGGTTCGGTTTTGATCCCCCTTCAAATGAGTAATAAACCAAAAGGGAGTCCATTGTAAGAACTCCCACGTGAGCACCATTGGATTCAATGCAAACAAGGGTCACCAAGTGTAGAGCACCGCCCGCTTAAAGAACCAATCTTACTTGATTGAACGACCAGGTTTGTAAACCTCAGCGTCATGTACATTTCGTCGACCGAAAACAAAACAACACATGACTTTGATCAGGGGGTAAGGTATCCTCACGCCCCGCCAACATGGTCGGCCTTGCCCTCAGAATTCACTCCCTTGAAGCCTGCGAGTTGAAGATATGCGTCAGTTCGCTTCTGTGGACCATGGGAATGGTTTCCCTCAATCAACCCTCGCGCGCTTGGCTCAAACCTTGAAGGATAGACCGGCTGTGAGCGGGGCGACTGACCCCTGACGGGGAGGAATTTTCGGGAATTTCCGTCAACTCAGAACCGTTGGCCGAAATGCCAAAACTTATTGCCCCCGATTTCTTCATGCTCAAAGTCCGGAAAAGAAACCGGCGGAACACACTATTGAAGGCGTGTCTGTGTTTGAAAACACAACTGTTGTGGTTGTTTAAAGGGAAACCCACAACATCTCTACTCTTGGTATGGTAGCGAAAAAACGGTGCTTTTTGCAGACACCCAGTAAAAATGAACAGAACCAAAAAAACTAAAAGAACCGAAACAAACATGATCCAAGAACAGTGAAGACACGGTAAACACCACAACTTTGAGGGATCGATCCCACCTGCAGGGCGCTTTGTTCGAAAGGAGCGGTCGCACAAAATTGGGGGGGAAAAAAAAAAAACGTCGGAGAGATCCCGAAAAGGAACGGCCCTCAACCGATCCGACACGGTTGAAAGGTTTTCTCTTGTTGCTGCCTGGAGTCTCCTTCTGACCCGAAAAAAATGGTTGGTCAGTACCCAAAATCATGGGGTCATGGACCCATTTTTATTTCGGGTCATGGAGACTCCAGGTGGTTACGAGGGGGAATGAAGGCAAGCCAAAACAATGCGAGAAGCACCCATCGTTGAGTCTCTGGCAAAAAAGAACACAGGAAGGAAGCTGGACAAACAGATTAGGCAAAAGTCTGGCAATGATTGCTGGGGGGGCAATGGCAAACCAAATCCGGCGCTGCCAAACCTGCCAGGGTGCTGAAGCCAGTTTTTGGTGGTGCAAAGTGGCCTGCACAGGGAAAACCCAAGTTCGCTTACATTGGCCCAGCACTCTAGGGGTAACTTCCATTTCCATTCTTTCCAGCGATCCTTCTTTTTAGAAAACCACCAAAAACCCTGGGGATAGACGCATGTGACATTTGCTGCAAAACCACCAACAGGGAAATTATGGAGAGCCCAGCCGCCTGGCATCAGCGCCCAAACAGTTGCACATAACATAGCATGCTGTTGCCCGGCCTGAGTAACTTAGGCCTTTGGACTCCGCTGGGTTGTCCTGACTGTTGGCTTAAAAGTACCCAACCTCAGTGTACCTATGTTGGCCCGTACCTTTCTAGGGGGTTGGGGGGCCCTAGTTTTGAACACCCACCAACCGACCATCTGACTGGTTGCTGATTGGAGGCCCTTGACCGGATTTAGACCCCCTTTCCTTTCCAGACTGGGAAATTCAATCTCAGATCCAGTATCTTCTGTGCCTACAAGTGGACCAAGGGGAACCAAATGGTCCGATCCGGAAGAAGCTTCGCTCACCAAACAAGTGGTCTTTCCACTTTCTCGCACATGGTTGTATTTCAACTTATTCAACTAGTCGCATGACTCTGCCAAAGTTCCTCCCCCAAAGTAGGTTGGAAGAGAAACAGGTATAGGTTGTTGGTTACAAATAGACGGGTTTCCCTGGTGAATGGATGGCATGACACCCATCTAAACCACTGGAACCATTTACTTCTACTCAAACGAATCTAGGGACAGCCTTCGAAACTATCCCCTGACTTTGAGACTCCCCAGACTGGGCTGCCCGTTTTCGGATCCCCCGCGAAAAGCTTGACGAACTTTCGCGGGTTAAGTGGAAACTGAAACACTAAACACTAAAAGAATCTAAAAGGCTAAGGAACCGGATGGCCTTCGGGAGCCACCAAGAGTTACACGGCAAAACAGCAATTTGCATGGGCCATTGGGGGCATCCGAAAGGATCTATTGTGGACTTGCCGTCCAAGCTAAGTCCGTACAGAACATGTGAGATTCCGTCCCTAACCGTTTTGCCTTCAAGCCCCTCGCCCCAAAATCACATTTTTAGATAGCCCAAACCTACTAAAATGATCAATGGAAATCCACTTTTCTAGAAACCGTTTTGGATTTGCGCCTTTTGTGGATTTCACCTGTTCTTCCCCCAGTTGGTCCTTTTTTAGTACTCTTTTACTCTTTAAACTTCAGGGGTGGAAAAAGCCACAGATTCGCCACATCCAAACCGTTTTCTAGAGCTTTGTTTGCACTGTAACACAAGGAATCAGATATGTGCCACCCCCTTCGGGTCCTGATCAGAAAAATCGCTTGGGGATGGCACCGGGAAATGAAAGCTGAGCCTTTTGGGTTGACTAAAAATGGAAACCGACATGGGCAAACCCTAAGGGCAGAGGGTCGGCTTTGGACCACTGAGCTCTTAATTTCACCACCGGGAACTTGGTGTTGCTGGGTGAATGTACATTTTGCTTCGACGGAAGTGTGTGCGACCATCTAACCCACTATGTAAATCGGCTGAAAGATGGTGTCTTTGATGGGGAACTACCACTAAACCAACTAAAAGCCCCCCCCGCCACCCCCCCCAAAAAAGAAAGAAAGAAAAGAGAGAACTAATCACAAGGGATTGATCAAGCAGTGTCCCCCGCAAAAGTGAAGAAGGGGGAAGCCCCCCAATTAATCCACCAATAATTTATTCATCCGGGGTTCCAATCAGGGTCTTATCCCAGAATTGAAAAAACAATTATTAAAAAAACACACACACACACACACACCTAAAACCTTGTCCTACCCTAAACCCCCAAAACAAAAACGTCCAGTCCCTTCGATGGCTTCCGCTTCACCCTGACTCGCAGAAACCGACTCCTACGCGCGCCTCGCCGGGGACTCGGACTCGGACTCGGCCCTGGACGGGGGACGCGGAACCGGAACGGGAAAAGGTCAAAAGGACCCATGCCCTTGTGGCAACGTCTTGCGGGACACCTGGAAACATGGGAAGAGGGTGGCACTGAACTGGAAGACTGCTTCTTGGTTGACCTTGGGCTTGGGGAGCAAAAAAAAGAATTTGCGCAGTTAAGTGGATTTGGATTTCAACCACTAAACCACAATAAGCACAAATGTGAGAAATGTTTCCCAGCAACCATGATGTTGGCGTACACGAACCAACCAAAGTACTTCGATTGGTTTAAGCCGCCCAGAAAAAAAGTAAAAACAATGTTCCAGTAGTGATGGTTTCAACACATTTCAGCATATCCTCGGTGAAACGGAGACTCTCTGAAAAAAGAGAAACCCTCCCAAACCGGCTCATTGGTTCCCCCTTTGGTTTCCTATTGAGTCTACTTGGATGCTCAACCAACTCAGTAGGTAACCATCGTTGGATCTGGGGTTGGTGGCCTTATAACCACAGTAACTGACTTGCCTGAACCTACGATTCCACCTAGTAGGTAGGTAACCATAGTTATAAGTAAGCACAGTCATATCTGGGGTTGATGCCCTGACCACATTAACCTACTTGCCCAAGATTTTACATTGATCCCAGGTTCCCCATGGGCTAAAGCTGTCCGCTACCTCAGCTTGTCCCAAGATGGTTGATTGATTCTGGTTGCTTAGTGAACCTTAGGCCCTAAAACTATGCCAAAAAAGATCTCTGGAAGTTATCTATGTGTGCAGGGATTGACATACAGGCACTTTGCGTTTGTTCTCCCAACTGCATCAGCTGTTAGTCGCGAATCAACCAAACAAAAAGGGGAAAGGGTGAAAGCGAGCAACTGGGATAAGCTCCTTGCTAAGTCGCCGCATCCCTAAAAGGGGTGGGGCGGGGTGGTCCGGGGGGGGGGGCGGGGGGTGGTGCAGGGGGGTGGTGCAGGGGGGTGGTGCAGGGGGGTGGTGCAGGGGGGGGGGGCGGGGGGGTCCCTGCCCTAAGGAACGCCATGAAACCCTAAGGAACACCAATAAGGGACCGGGGTTTGCTATCAGCCATTTGGGAATAAACCGTCAGGGGAGGATTCTTAAGTGGGCCAAAACGCAGGTCACCAACAACTTACTATCCTGGCGAATCGAACGCCCAATTACCTACCCCTAGGAACCCGAACGAACCGGGGTTGCTAAAAAATACCTGAGGAACCCTATCAACCCTAACCCCAAAGCAACCCGAAAGGGGCTCTCAACTACCCCGGTAACGTGTACTATCCCAGAGCTTCCTCGGCCTGGGTAACTTAGGCCTTTTGTCAACGGCCGTAGACACCCGTAAAAAGGCCGAAAAAAGCCCGTAAAAAGGACGTAAACACCCCGTAAAAAGTCCGTTAAACCAAAACAAACAAAAAAACGTGTTTAAACGACCTCCGTAACTCAGGCCTTTGGATTCCCTGGGTATGAAGAGGCTGGGACACTTTTGGAAGTCCCCGGACTTTGGAAGGCCACGCCACAAAGATACTGCGAGGACATCAAGTGTACGTCTCACTATACAGGCAAACATGATTACCTGGTTTGGGGGCACTTGGCACGTGGGTTTGTCGGTTTCCCTTGACAGCCCCCAAGAAAGGTTCCCCCCTCCCCCCCCGGCCCCCAACACAAAACACATTTCCCTTGACAGCCCCCAAGAAAGGTTCCCCCCTCCCCCCCCGGCCCCCAACAAAAAACACACACACACACACACCACAGTGAGTCATAATTGCAGGGGAACACATATTGCGGATTTTAATTCGGGACTGGGCATCATTCGGTGTTTATGTCCACCAGCCAGTGTCCAGTCTTCGATTTTGTTGAAGCCTCCCAGAAAAATGACAACATATGTCCGGTAGTGATGGTTTCCCTTCAACACCAACAGGGCAACATTAAAAAAGAGTCATTTCAGCAAATGGAATACCTGGAGTCTCCTTCTGACCCTTTAAAAATGGGTCCATGACTCCATATTTTGGGGTAGTCTGACCCACCATTTTATTTCGGGTCATGGAGACTCCAGGTTTTCTTGATACCCAACGCCAACCCCCGCGTGTCCGCCCACGGGGTGCGGCCGGCCTCCGCGCCGGACCGTCGCTGGGCTCGCGGGGGAAGCTGGGCGAGCGCGTGGAAATTGGCCTCAAGCGACGAGACGAGACGAGTGGAAGGCGAAGGAGCCATGGGAACTCAGTGGCTCAGTGCTTCGTTGGACTCATGATCTCGATGGGTCTTTGACAAAAAAACAGCAAACACATCAGCAGGACCTTTGAAAACAAAACACCTTTAGGATCTCAGTGGTTCAGTGACCCTGAAAAAAAAAGAATTGGAACCCACTTTTTGGGGGGGCTTGGACCATTTTAGTGGGGGCCACCAAAGAAAAAGGGGAAACGAATTGGAGCCACTCAACAAGTGAGCAGTGGTTCAGTGACCCTGAAAAAGAGAATTGGAACCACACTTTTTGGGGCAGACCGACCAGTCTTAGTGGGACAGCCACCAGAAAAAAGTTGGAAACAAAAATTGGTGCCACTGAACAACTGGGTTAAAAATAGAAGGGGATCGTCACCCTCCAAAAATGGTCCCCTCATGCCGCCTGATCCCTTCAGTCACTTCAGCAATAGCATTGAACCTCTTTTGCGAGTACCATTCCCTCGCGAATACTGTATGTCGTTCGGCGAAGAATCTCGTCGATATTCACCCATCCCCCACTGTTGCATGGAAACCAAACTGCCGTTAGACATCGGGAAGTCGTCCATTGGTCAAAAGATGCCGTCCCCAACGGACGGAGAATGCGCGAGCTTCTGAGAAGGCGTTATTTCTTCTTAAAGCTCGGCAGGCTTTTCAAGGTTTCAAAGGAAATGAAATTAAAGGGAAGGAACATCGCAGCATGCTCAATTTCAGCATCTTCCCAAATGGACATATTGGGGTTGTACACAATTACTTTGCCTGGGGACCCCCCCAATCGCCGGCGAATGGCGATCCAATCGCGATCCCACATGGTCCCCATATAACCCAAGAGAAACACCATCCTTAGAGGAATGCCTTTTTGGGCAAGGCATTCTGGCCCGGGTTCCTTCCAGTTTTCAGGGAAGGTCAGCCCCTAACTCGGGTGGTTTCCTGTAGAAGGGCCTCAAAACCCTAGTGAGGTCCAATTGAAATCCCACCCCTCTAAGGATAAGCTGCAAAAAATGAGGGTAAATCAGGGCATAAATCTGGGCTGTCCTCAGTTCCCCCGCTAAAAGTGAATAACTTCGAGTGGGTTAAATGGAAATTCCAACTAAATCAACTAAAAAGCTGAAAAGCTATAGCTGAGAGCCACGAAATCAGCTTTGGAGCGCACAACCAGCACTCCTGTCCCCGCCTGGACCTGGTGGGTGAAGGGCTCTGCTCAGGGACCTTCGGAGCACCGGTTTGTTTTTGCCTCCTCAGATCCCTTGCTAAAAGTTGGGTTCAATGGACACCCCCCCCCACTTCCTGAGTTGATGGACCCATTCTTGAATGGAGACTGGTAGATAAAAATGCTGACGTGACCCACCTCCCGACTAAAAAAGTTCCCAAACTATTTGGCAGGCCGCGTATGGGGCAATGAAAAAATTGCCATCCGGGCTCCAAATCTAAAGGTCTGGCCAGCTTGCCCTGCTTCTACATGGCCGCTTGCTTCTCTCTTAAGTTCCCGGATCTGGTAAAATGGTCCTTCCAAAAAGTTCGAAGCAGAACTCAGGAAGTGAGCTCCACCTTTTTTCCAACGAAAACCTATCGGGATAGCTGGGGACCGGTTTGAAGCCGAGACGACTTTGCGACTCTCATTTGCCCACCTGGCACCCCGTATGGCTGCTTCTTTTTTTTGTCAAACTCCCGTACTTGGCCGTATTTGCCCGTATGGCCACTATTTTTGGGTCATTTGCGTAAATCAGCCGTATGAAGCCCACATTTTTTCGACATGTTGTTGAAACAAAGCCGCAAAATCTGTATGGCCTTTTTTTTTTCCGGACGAAGGCGTATGACCTAAAATAAAAAAGGCCACATGGGGTCCCAGGCAGTTTGGACCCAGGAATACACCTGGGCGGTCCGTTTTCTGATCTGCTTAACGTTGGTGTTCTTGTGGGTGAAGCTCGTTGAAATCCCGACGGCTGGGAACCCTCAAAATGGAAACAAATGGCGTGGTGCGGCGCGGGGGCTCGAGGTTTCTCATGTCCCAGTGTTTTTGTTTGCTTCACTCACTTCCCAAGTTGATTGGTCAAAAAAGTCTGAACTTTTTATTTACCACTAAAATGGTCTTTCCAAAAAAATAAAGTCCATCAGCTCAGGAAGTGAGTTCAGGTGAACTATGATCCATGAATCAGACATGAGAACTCGCCAAACGAGTCTCACTTGGTGAGGCCGTAACGACCTGTGAGGTCACTATGATTTGCCGAGGAAAAAACGGCAAAAAAGAGCAAGCAACTGTGATCACAATTGTCTCTTCGCTTTTAAGGATGTTAGATTGCCAAAAACAAAACACAGCAAAAGGCTCAGGCCTGAGAACAAGACAGACACAGACACAGACACAGACAAAGGCAAAGAAACCACACCCAAAGGAGCATCAAGGACCTAAGGACCGGGCCCTAGATGAAGTTGCCATAGGCTTTACCCCCAGATCCGTAGCAACCCAAAAGTCCAACGTCATGAACTGCTGAAGAGCGCCAAACGCAAGAATGCTGGTTTTGTCGGCCTGGGTTTCTGCACCAACAGCATGGCCGCAGGTCAAGGAATCGGCCTTTGGGGTATCTTACAACCGTTTTGCAACCTGAGACGAAGCCCAAAACCAAATGAACGAAGGGGAGCTGGATAAGAGGATTGGAATCGGCACTCGTTTGGGGACATCCTGAAACAGAACATGTGGATTCGTGTGAAGGAGATTGGGTTCCCTTTCGCCAGAGGCTCCCGATTGATTCCGGGCCAAACAACCTCCGGGGTGTCTAATGGAGGGGTCGGGTCTTCCATTGAAAGGTTTAGGAGCCTCTGGGTGGCCACATTCTTATCAAGGTTCCACGATTCTCCCCGGATCCTTTAGGCCCAGAGGCTCCAATTCGATGGATTTTTCGGCTCAAACAACCTCGTTTTGAGACGCCTCTGCCATTCCCGTGTTTGCGTTTCAATGGAAGACCCGACCCCTCCATGAGACACCCCGGAGGTGGTTGGGGGTCTCAAAACCAGGTTGTTTGAAGGCCCGAAATCAATCGGGAGCCTCTGGGCACGCAAAAGATACCAACTCCAGAAAAAACACTTCGCATTCCAACTTGAAAACCAGCAAAAGAACATAACACATATTCAGATGCCCTCCAGATTTCCATGGGAAAAAAGACTCGGCCCCCCCTTTTTTCGTCGCTTGCCTTTCAAGGAAAAAAAGGAACCCTTACCGGAAAAAAGAGAGGGGGACCCCCTCAGCGTGGGTATTTTCCATGTGAAACGAGTGCTTTTCCAAATTGGGGGGGTTGTGTGCACTTATGTGTGTATATATCCTCTGACCGCGATCTGCGCTGCAACTTTGGCCAGCTGCATCTCATCCATCTGCATCCTGCACTGAGTCGTCCCACCCTCCACTCTGGGCTATGACGGCACTTGCAGCAGAAGACATGACCTACGAGGATCTCAAGGAGATCGTGGATGGCTACCTATGCCACCTTGCGCCGCAGTAGTCGCCTTGCAGAGCTGTTCCTGCTGGAGCTCCAATGTTGTAAATCTTCTGGCGAGCTTCGTATGTTATACGAAACTTTTCATCTGAACTTTGTCCTGTCATCACCTTATTACCTGCAACTTTGAGAGGCCCTGCTCCTACATCTGCCCAACTGACAAGGTGGCAACCTTCTGCAGCTGCCTGAACTTAAGCAGCTTTCAGCTCCTTTCTGATCTCAGTCCACCTCTTTCTGTCGTCCCAACTGGCACCTTTGAGCTCATCTGCTGAGAAGACCAACTTCTTGCTTGGAGCTTTGGCCCAAAGTGGGACTTGATCACTCGTGCCGATTACCAGTGAGGATCGGTTCTCAACTATCATCTCTGCATCTGCAACCAAATGTGCATCTTCAAGCTCAGCAACTGGAGCAGCACCTAGATGCCAGAGCTTTCTGTCAATATCCTGGAAGGTGAGCACTGGTGCCAGGCGAGTAGTCTGATCTTTGCGCAAGTAAGCTGCACCTAGCCATTGGATCAGCTTCTCTACATAAGAAGCTGCATACTTTGAGCTCTGCTGGAGCTTGGTCTTTCTCTGCAGGGCACAGTCAGCTTCTTTCAGCCAAGCTTTCCTTTGCATCTCATTTCTGCAAAGCTCTGCCCTGACCATGCATCTCTCTGCCCTTGCAACCAGAAGGGCCAAGAACTCTTTCAGCAGCTCATTCTTTGAAACGTTGTGGCTATAACGCCTTTTTTTCTGCAACCGCTCGCCAAGAGATCTCTCTGCTAAACTCTCTCTTTCTCCCTCCGCCAGCTGCTCTGGCAAACCTCTTCTGCAATCTTCCAGCCTCTGTGTGCTCATCTTGAACTTTCTCCTTGCAGCTGCCCAAGCTTCTGCTTCTGAGGCTAAGCCTCTTCCAGAATCATCTGAATCTCTTCACTAAGCTTCATGTTCTGAAAGGCAAAAAAAGCTCTTGCTTCCTTCTTCCTGTTGCTTAACTGCCCACCTGCAGTTCCTCTACGCTCTTCCAGAACTGGAGGCCTGCCACCTTGTCTGCCTGCTTCTCTCTGGAACCGCAGTCTTGTTACAACTTCTTCTCGGTCTTCTTTCTCAAGCTCTGCTAGCTTCTAAAATTAAAGCTAGCTTCTGGAGGTAAGCTGACTTCACTAGCGCAGCTTCTTTCTGCAGCTTCTTTCTGCAGCTTGCTCTGCTGCTGCCTCTGGTATGGAACTACCCTGTTAGATAGCACAGGTTCTATCTCCTTGGCTTGCTGCTCTGGTGTTCCAAAAAACTTCTTTTCTTCTCTAAGCTAGCTGGGCTGGGGCTGGGTGCAAGCTGGCTGGAAGCTAAGGACTCTGTCGGGCTTGCTGTCACCTGAAGCTGTGTTGTCGGGCTGGCCACACCTTTGGTTTTCTTGTTGTTTGCTTTTGGAAAACCTTCTAAGCTCTTCCTCGCAAAGCTGTCCTGTGTTGAAGCTTTTGCTGCAGATTGTCTTATCTTGGCTGCTTCCTGCTGGGCTTACCTTATAAGTAAGAAACATCGAGAAATCAAAAGAAGGTGTCCAAAATCAGAAAAAAAAAAAAAAAAAAAAACATCGGGAATTCGAAAGAAACGATCCAACATCAAAAAACACATCGAGAAATCGAACAGATTTTGCCCAAAACCGAAAGAACCCTCGATAATTCGGAAAAAACAAATCTGGCCAACAGACTGTTTACATGATACCAGCACATTGTCCTGGAATCTTTGGTTTTTATCCGATTTCTCGAGGTTTCTTTCGGTTTTGGATAAAAACTTTCGATATCTCGATGTTTTTTTTTTTTTTTTTTTTTTTTTGTTCGGTTTTGGACAGAAGCCTGACATCTGTAGGAGGGGGGGGTAAGGTGGAGAACTGTTTGCATGACCCCAGCACACTGTCCCAGAACTTTTTCTTTTTTTTTAGATTTCTCAAGTTTTGCGCTTTTGGCCAGAATGCAGCAAAATTAGGTGTGTGCAAAAACCCAACGCTCACAGGGTCCCTTTCTGGAAAAAAAAGGTTGGAAACAAGGCACCGCAACCCACTGGGCAACAAGGCTAGGCAACAAAAGCGCCGGTTGAACTTCCAGGTAGGCAACTTGGCTGGAAAAAATCGGACCCCAGCCAAAAATAAAAAAAGTTTGCCTGGAAAACAAAGGAACCAACCAAAACAAGTTCAAACAAGCATTAAAAGGGGAGCGTTTTTTCTGGGGAAGGCAAGAAGGCCCCTAATCCGCTGGGCCCCAACTTTAAAACCAAGGGAAAATCCCCGAGCTCTGGGATCGATTTGGGTGGCATTTCTCGGGAAACAACTTTGTGCCATTTGGCCCATGGTTGTCAAAAGCCCAGTTAGCCCCCAGTGAACATCCCAACCCCCACTAAAGATTGACTAAAACACCTGCCCCAAAACGGTTTTGACCCATGGCCATACTGCTAGGCTGGAATTAGGACCCCTGCAAAACAAGATCTTTTTTGCCTGGAAGATGTGGAAAACAAGGGGACCAACCAAAAAGGCAAAAAAAGGAAGGGGAGCGAATTCTGGGGAATAATTTTCACCTAATTTATGGAAGTTGTTTTTCTCCCAGACATAGAGCTCATCGAGTTGCCTCCAGGGACTTGGGCCGTGTCCGGGGCTTCACCTGGCGAGACCAGATTGGTACCATGGCCTTCGGGGAAAGAAAAAAGCCCAAAGGCGCGTTCCTAAGGCGACTTGAGGGCTTGAATCTTCACCTGGAGTCTCCTTATGACCCCCTGGGACCCCATATGGCCGTTTTTTTTGGGTCATACGCCTTTGACCGAAAAAAATTGCCATACGGATTTTTACGGCTTTTTTTCAACAACATGTCGAACAAATATGGGTTTCATACGGGTGATTTACGCAAATGACCGAAAAATCATGGCCATACGGGCAAATACGGCCAAATACGGGAGTTTGACCGAAAAAAAACAGCCATACGGGGTGCCAGGCCGAAATAAAAATGGTTTATTTTGGGTAATGACCAACCATTTTTTCAGGGTCCTTAGGGAGACTCCAGGCGGTGGACTTTGGGCTGCGGAAAATGGAATCCACTTCTGTGATGCAACGGAAAGGGCTTCCCTAAGACCAACCCCTCGTGATGGGAGATTCCCTTGTATCTTAGAAGTGGGAATAAACCCACAACCCTGGTGGACAAACGAATTTGTAGAGCGTCATTTGGGTGGGGAAAACAAGCTCGCACTGCAACCCCTATCAGGTCTTGGAATAGTCAAGTTTGCATGTACTCCCCTACAGATTAACTATGGGTTGCCCAACAAACCACTAGTTGCAGAGGAAACTCCTGTTTGGGGGACACCCCCCCCTTTTATCCCCTTTTATGTTAGGTGGGGGTTCAAGTCCACCATCCGCTTTTGAGGTGATTCCCTGTGAGAACTTCATGTCCAGCGAGAAGGACTTTTTGGAGGGTACCCTCCTGAAGGTTGTTTGAAGGTGGACCCTCAAACTACCCTTGAAGATGGGCTACTGTCCTTGAATTATCTGTGTAGCTTGAGGCTCCAAAGGAGAACACTTTCTTTTTTTTTAGCGATTTAGCCCCTCAAAGAAACATAAAGCAGACTTCTCACTTGCCCCTTAGGCACCCAGAAATAGAAGGTTGACCTTTAACCTTGACGAGCATGGACCAACCAGGGGAAACCAAAAGGTCAAAAAGACAATTCGCTCTGGGCGTTTGTGAGCCGAATCGTTTCCAAGAAGCAAGCCTCAAATTGGTGGCATACCTTGGCACACGCGGTCTCCTCTGGCAAAGGGAAACCACATGCGCAGCACCCGAAACCGATTGGCGTTCGGTTTTACCAACATGGTTATAAAGGTTCATACGGTGTGTCTTGTTTGAGGGCACCGCTTTTATTGTGGGTTCTGAAGGGGAACCAAGAAGGAACACTACAATTTTGAGGTTCCCCCCAAAAAAGCTTTACTATTATAACTCTCCTAAAACCAGGTTGCAGATCAACCAAACATTGCCCTTTTGGATGCGGCCAAATGTCGTTGCTTTCATTTGAAGCCAATCCAATCTTCGACCCCATGTGTGTCAACAAAAAGGAAGCTGGAGCAACCGTCAACGAAACGACATGCTCAAAAACGGCAACACCTTCCTTTTGCTAAAGCTATGGAAACATAAGACATCTCCGGGTAAAAGTTGTACTTGTGGGAAAAATGGAATAAACCCACACGAAATCAACTAAAAACCACTACACCCCAAAGGAATCGGGGGGGCTGGAAACCACCAAGGATACATGTAGCAGTCAGCACCGCTTCCCTTTTAGCGAATGTGTTCTTTTGGCTTCCCTCGCAACAACCACATGGCTGCGTGACCCTTTTACGGGGCGGCCCTCAAAATGGATCTCGGCCCGTTCAAAGCCAAGAAATTGGTACCCGCAACAAGGACACCACTCACAAACACTTTGTCCAGGCGATGCAAAAGGGGATCAGGAGCATCACAAACAAAGTTCACCTCAAATGGCCCGAAGGGTGATGGTTCTTCAAGCAAACAGGGAATACACCAGGAAATCCTGTCGACTCCCTTTCTGCCTCCTCCAAACCCAGTGGATACAGGAGCACGAAATGGTCATTGCAAGGGTTTGGAGGTACAGGGCTAAGGCGAAACCGTCTCCAAATCCAGTGGCTGGAGGCTGGAAGAAGAGGACCCCAGCAAAAGCAAACTACTTTTGTGCCTGGTTAGTGGAAAACAAAGGGGACCCCAAAAAAGCAAGAAAAAGGGGGAGCTAATTCTGGGGAAGTCAATTGGTGCCTTTAAAGCGGTTTGGATTTGGAATTGAACCCTCTAGTTGTCGAGGGTTAATGGGAAGCTCAACTCACACCTCCACACCACCGGGCTCCAAAAGTCCTAGCTCCTCAAAAAGCCTCAGGGGTGTGTGACCCAAATCCTGTCAAGTTCAAAAGTGCGACTCAGTGGAACGCCCATACGTATCTTTGCCATGGCCCACCAAAAGTGACCTAAAGTCCAAAACGGAACTCAGGGACCGAGCTTTGCAAGATTTACCTCCAGTTGCTTTTTTTCGCCTGGAAAACATGATGCGTAATATGTCCAGTAGTAAAATCGAGTCCAACTTTAAACAGGGGAAAACAACACATACCCATAAGTTTCCCATGGTAAATACCGAATCCCTTTTTTAGTCGAGGGTCGACATCATAACCGGCAAAATTTGGCTGGAGGTTAGTGGAAAAAGCAAAGGGAAACCCAAAAAAGCCAAAAGTGAAAAAGGGGAGCTAATTCTGGGGAAGAAAAATGATCATACTCCCCATTGACTTCCATTTGCTTAAGAGTTTTTAGTTCCCCTTGGCTTTGAAGGGAATTGATGTCACTACTGCCTGGAGTCTCCCTGGATATTTGGCAGTGGCTCGAAAAACCGGTACCAAAATGAAATCCTGGTATAAGTGGAAACATGGACCAAAACCTGCGGTTTGCCCCTCCTGTTTAAGTTTGAGCCACATTTGGAGGTTACGGGGGTCCTCATGGAAGCTTCCGCGCACAGCCTTGGGCACAGCCTTGGGCACAGAGCTTCCTGAAAGAAACGCGGGAGACAAGGCCGTGGGACCGGTAAGGCCGTGGGCTCCTTTCGTGCGCGTTTTAGGGGGCCGAGATTTCAGGGTCTTTGATTGTTTTGCATTGATTCTATCTTCTCTTGCTTTTTTTTTGGGGAGGGGGAGTGGGGGATTTTGCTTGCTTTGTTAGTAGGTTGGGTGCTTTGTTTTGTTTTCTGGTTGTATCTGGGTTGCAGGTTTCTCATTTTTCTATGCGTGTGTTGCTGGCTTTTTGTTGCTTGGGGACAGCGTGCGCATGTGGATGGACAAAATCAGGTTCGCACCAGATGGAATGGGTGGCATGTCAACCCGCATTCTTCCGCTTTCTCTATCCCAGCTGGTACTGTTGGAGGTTCCTTGTCCCGCGGTCGCGGTTTCCCTGAATTCATACATCGGCAAACCGATAAGTCATTTTTGCATGTGCAGGTGATCTGCCACGGAGAAGAAGCAGGTGATCTCACCAGGGATCCATTGTCCTCAACAACCCCCACTCCAAATACACACTGTTTCTACATTTGTTTTTTAAATAATAACCTGGGTGTCCATGGTAAATGCCTCCTTTTTTAGCAAAGGCTCGACAATTCCTACCCCAAAAAAAAGGCCGGGTCTTGGGTGTATCCGACAGGTTGCCCCCGCTTAAAGCAATCAACAATAACCTCTCTGCCTTCAAGTTGGGTGGTTTTATGTTTTGTTCGGTGCTTTTTTTTTAAAGTAGGGGGCTGCAGGTTTTCTGCCGCCACACCGTTTGGGTTGCAAAGCTCCAATTGAAACGTGGGGGGCATTGTACAAAGGAAAGGGGGCATGGCCAACCCGTTCTTTTAGGGGTCCTTAGGGGGACTGCAGGCAAAGGTCGATCATTCTACAGGTTCTTGAAAAAGCAGCCTGGGAATACACCCGCTGGGTATACCGACCCCCATGGCACCTTTCCGGATCACATCCTGTTGTTTTGAGCCAGGTGTAATCCCAGTACAAAAAAACCTCAGAAATCGAGCTTCAAGTCTTCACGAAGTGCAAGGCGTGACCCGAGACCCCATGACACGTTTTTCCCAAGTCACTCCTCTGGATCTGGGGCTCACAGCCTGCAGGCACAGGTTTGAAAACCGAGTTGAAACACCGAAACGAAGGGAAACCAAGGGAAAGCAAAAGGCAACTAACCAATCTTCATCAAACTTCGATTCAAGTAGAGTGGGGAATGCATTCATGGCTTTTGCACATTTCCTTGCGACCATTTCGCCAAGGTCTGTTGTTGAGTACTGCCTAGTTTTACACTGAACCAAGGCATCTTGCATCCAAGGAGTCGCCCATGTGGCGACAACTCGTTGCTGAATGGAAAGATGAATATGATAAAAGCAGCAAACAGAATACCAAGTAAGGGATACTCTCCCAACAGCTAACATGGTCTTCCGAACCCCCCCTGTCACTTGCCATGTTAATTAGTGGGAGAGTTTTTAGATGGGAAGTGGAATGGCTGCGTCAGCAAATGCTTTCTGCTTCTTCCTCCAGCTGCTTTCTGCTGCGCTGGCCGAGTTGCGGTCCATGGTGGATCCACCAAGCAGTACCCCTAACATACCCGGCCTTTTCTTGGTATTGATGTCGACCATCTACTAAAAAAGGAGGTATGTATCATGGAAATCCAGGTTCTTCAAAAAATGCTTAAAACAACGTGGGTATTTGGAGCAGGGGGTAGGGGGATTCAAAGATAATAGGTACTGTACCGCAACCCACCGAGGAAATTGCAGTTGGATGTGCTATCTTCACTTTGGAAAACCACCTGATGTTTTCAGAAAAAACCAGCTTCTGGCATCACAATGTAAAGACATGAAGCCGCACTCTTGCCAGCCGCGTTCTTGTCAGCACCAGCTTCAAGCAATGGTCGCAGCACTTCAGTACGTGCAGCTAAATCCAAAGACCTGCGCCAATTCACGCCAGAAGCATGCTGGTTAGCCATGGCCATTCCTAGCTGAAGAATGCTTAGGTGTTCCCCAAATTTCAAATCACGTCAGCCAGGTCCTTGTTGGCCCCAGATGTCTGTACCAATACACGTCAGCCAGGTCCTTGTTGGCACCAGCTTCCAGCAAGCTTTGCACCACTTCCGCGTGGCCTTTCCGAGCAGCAACATGCAAAGGTGTACACCAATCCTCGTCAGCCAGGTCCTTGTCGGCACCAGCTTCCAGCAAGCTTTGCACCACTTCCGCGTGGCCTTCCCGAGCAGCATAATGCAGAGGTGTACACCAACCCACGTCAGCCGGGTCCTTGTTGGCACCAACTTCCAGCAAGCTTTGCACCACTTCCGCGTGGCCTTTTTCAGCAGCAAAATGCAGAGGTGTATACCAATCCTCGTCAGCCAGGTCCTTGTCGGCACCAGCTTCCAGCAAGCTTTGCACCACTTCCGCGTGGCCTTTCCGAGCAGCATAATGCAGAGGTGTACACCAATGCCTGTCAGCCGGGTCCTTGTTGGCACAAACTTCCAGCAAGCTTTGCACCACTTCCGCGTGGCCTTTCCGAGCAGCATAATGCAGAGGTGTGCACCAACACACGTCAGCCAGGTCCTTGTCGGCACCAGCTTCCAGCAAGCTTTGCACCACTTCCGCGTGGCCATTCCCAGCAGCAGCATGCCAAGGTGTACACCAATCCTCGTCAGCCAGGTCCTTGTCGGCACCAGCTTCCAGCAAGCTTTGCACCACTTCCGCGTGGCCTTCCCGAGCAGCATAATGCAGAGGTGTACACCAACCCACGTCAGCCGGGTCCTTGTTGGCACCAACTTCCAGCAAGCTTTGCACCACTTCCGCGTGGCCATTCTCAGCAGCAGCATGCAAAGGTGTACACCAACCCACGTCAGCCAGGTCCTTGTCGGCACCAGCTTCCAGCAAGCTTTGCACCACTTCCGCGTGGCCTTTCCGAGCAGCATAATGCAGAGGTGTACACCAATACACGTCAGCCGGGTCCTTGTTGGCACCAACTTCCAGCAAGCTTTGCACCACTTCCGCGTGGCCATTGTAAGCAGCAGGAAGCAGAGGTGTACACCAATCCTCGTCAGCCAGGTCCTTGTCGGCACCAGCTTCCAGCAAGCTTTGCACCACTTCCGCGTGGCCTTCCCGAGCAGCATAATGCAGAGGTGTACACCAATGCCTGTCAGCCGGGTCCTTGTTGGCACCAACTTCCAGCAAGCTTTGCACCACTTCCGCGTGGCCATTCCCAGCAGCAGCATGCAAAGGTGTACACCAACTCACGTCAGCCAGGTCCTTGTCGGCACCAGCTTCCAGCAAGCTTCGAACCACTTCACGATGGTCATTCTCAGCAGCACAATGCATAGGTGTACACCAATACCTGTCAGCCGGGTCCTTGTTGGCACCAACTTCCAGCAAGCATCGCACTGCTTCAGGATTGCCATGCTCAGCAGCAAAATGCAAAAGCGTGCGCCCTGCATTGAGCCCTGCATTGGTAACAACAACATCTGGATTCAGGGGCTGCTCCAAGAGGTGCACAACTTCAGCAAAATGATTGTTGGCTCCAAACAAACGCGCATCCCAATCCGCATCCGCGTACGGGCGCAAATAAACAAAGAAGTCGCCCTTGACAGATTCGTCCATGGAGCTGTCAGGTCCCACAACGACGCCGTCGCAAACCAACTGCAGGCGCCGGAAATTCACAATGTTCCGCCGCCTGGCCACCTCCCGCCTAAGCTCATCCAAGGTCGGGGGAAACCCCGCCGCTGATTCGGACTCCGAACGCCAATGGGCCAACTGCTCCTCGCTCATCACCTCAGGGGTCAACGACGTTAGCCGTATTTCGCCACACAAGATTGTTTAATTTGGTAATGGGGACTTCCTCTCAACGTGAAGGATCTCCCCCCCTAAATGTATCAACCAAGCGGATTCGGTAGTTCACCCGAGATTCATCATCCGCAACCTCCTCGCCGCTCATCATGAAGACGGCCATTTTGGCTTAGCGCGCCAGAGAGGGCGGCAAAGAGAGGGGGGAGCTGAGATCCCTCAGCTTTTGTCTGTGTGCTCAGGCAATCAACCACCACTCAACTCCGAACATTCTGCACATGCAACTTGGGCAACAAGCAGAATCAAATGCACAAAGCATTTCAGGGATCCTTACATTATACACCTGAACATATTTTGGTGTTGAAAAAGCACCATGTTTCAAGTGGTTGCAAAATGGAGATTTTTTAAGGAGCCCTGCATTTTAAGGAGCCAATAGAACCTGCCTTGTCTGGAAGAGCACCGCCATTGGCATTCAACACCTGCGTAGCATGTGAGGCAAAAGGAGTGAACGATGCGCTTTCGGCGTCCCGTTCCGCTGATCACCTGTAGGTGTCATATGGAAGAATTTGGGCGTGTCTTTGTTTAGGATTCGTACCTCCTCGAAATGGTGGTTGTCCTTTTGGTTTCCCATAACCACAGAAAGATGGGGTACGAACTGAAAAGACAAAACAACAAACACCATTGTCAACCCAAAGGATCCTTGTAACGGGCGACAAAGACCGACCGGCCATGCAAAATCATGGCAGACCCAATGAGGAACACTTCCAGGTGCTACGAAGCGTGTTTATACGCACCCATTGTGATTCAGAGCGGAGGCGCGAGCGGGCAAAGGGGTGGGGTGGGGCGGGGTGGAAGTATGAAACTTTGTGCAAAATCGTGTTTTTTGTGTGTTTCATGAAACAAAACCAATGCCACAATCTCACCAAAGTTTCATACCTCCACCCCCCCCTTTTCAGGTTTGATATGGAGCAGGCTGCCATAGGAGGCTTCTTGACCCAAATGGCCTGGACACTCATCATTAATGTAGAACAAATATGAGCAATCAAGATATGCATAGAGCATATTCAAGAAACGGCCCTGTTATGGCCCCCACAAGCCGATTGGTAACGCCATTTGGGGAGCCAAGCAGCTTCAACCAAGCCCTATGACTCCAAAATGCAAAGGCAACCAAACCTCATGTTATTTCTACATATCCAGGAACAACCCCTCAACATGACCAAGAAAACAAAGAGACATGGCCCGCCTTTAACAAACGCACGCATTTTTTCCAGAACCCATTTGATAGGGAAACAAAAAAAGCAAAGCCGCAAGTCCTACCCACCCCCACCCCCACCCCCACCCCCACCCCCACCACAAAGGGCTCTCTACTTTCAAAGGCGTAAGAACAGCGCCGCTTTCAAAGGTGAACAGGCCCACTTGCACGGGAATGCGGGCGAACTGGGACCCAATCAGTCTGTCTTGAGGCCGAATGTACCTGGAGTCTCCATGACCCTTTACCATGACCCCATTATTTTGGGTAATGATCCCTTTTTCTAAGGGTCCTGGAGACTCCAGGTACCCCCTTTTTGTTGGGTGGTTTTAAAAGGGAAATCCAACGGACACCGAAACCTCCCAGTTCGGACCAACTAGATCCTTGTGAGAGGTTAGAATAAGGGTACCGTTTCTTTTCTCTGTAGTCTATTTTAGTAGGGGACCCTCCCCCCAAAAAGGGTAAGCAAGGGCGCTGGGGGACCTAGCCAAAAAAAAAAAAAACGGTCTCGCCACTTCGCCGGGCCTTAGGCTTCGCCGCGGGCGAGCCAGTCGTGGCCTGATGTGCCGAGTCACGGAGCCACGCGGAACCCAAACTCGGGTCTTCGGTTCACCAAGTTCGTCAGTTGGCAACCTACGGAACAATACCATCTCTACTCTGGCATGGTAGCGAACAACTGTGTTTTTTGCAGACCCCCTGTAAAAATGAACAGAACCAAAAAACTAAAAAACCAAAAAACATGCCAAGAACAGTGAAGATACACAACATGATTCTATTTTATTACAAACCAATTGATAAATGAATGTAACTAATGTAATGCAACTGGTATACATACCATAAACTAAATCATTGCAAACAATTTTCATAGCGCGTTGCTCAGTAAGACCTGGCCAGACCGGTACTGCTTACGCCGGGCCATGGAGACCACAACAGGCCTGGCTATTGATAAGAAGTGATCTGTGAACCTAAACTGGTTGGGAGATGAATTGAATATGGGGGTCAACAATAGGGCTGTGATATCGTTTAAGTTCCGTGTGTCCGTCACTATATGAGTTGGCTTCAAAACTACTTGTATGGGGTTTGTTCATTCCGACGTTAGGAAATCCCGTATCGTTCTCAAGGCTTTTCTCTCAGGTGTTTCGGGTATCCATTTTTTTTGACGTCCCGTATCGTTTATCCGAGAAGAGACCCACAATCACATGTGCATGAAACATTCCGACATAAAGTAAATGACGGTTATGTTGAAGCCGACGCAGAGCCCCAGACCTAGGGTTCCTTACCCCCCTTGGCTTCCAGTGTAAATACGGATCTTGTTGTTAAAACAAAGGAAATTGGGTGAAGCGGTGCACTCGAGTGGGTTGCCACTGAACTCTACGCGCAAAGGGTTCACTTTCCTTGAGCTCTTGAACGGGGCACATGCTCGGACACCCCTACATGGATTCTGTGCTTACCCCTTAAAACTCCAAGCCCTGGGGAAGTTAATCTTTTACAGACATATAGCCCATGTTACCCAAAAAGTTGAGAAAAGTTGTTGTTTTTAAGCGGTAAGTGTGGATTCCATTCAGAAAGGGCTTCCCCCGTAGAATAGAGGCTTGGAGGTGTAAGGAAAGTGACCATGAAATCTAGTCCCAGCTGCAGCGGTAAGACTATTGAAAAGACGAGTCTTATCCAGACCAGGCGTTAACAGTCCTTAGGATTGCATCTTTCTTTATCTTTATTATTTTAATTTGCTTTTATTATGGTTATTTGGATTGTGTTTGTTAGTTCAGGACCTTTCCCGTCGGTTGTTGTGGATGAGGATAAACGATAGAAGCGACGGAAGGAAACGCCCTCAACCAATATTAATACTTGAAAATAGAAAAGAAATGGAAAGATCAGGAAATAATATGATGTAGCCACCTGATTCATTTTCCTGTTTGTCTTTATTGGAGGTTATTTGGTGGCTACAGAAGGGACATAATATCTTTCCAGGTCTTTATCTTAGGATTTACAATGTGACGACATAGGGAATTAGAAGTGGAAAGACATCCAAAAGAGAGAGAAATAGACCATGAGATACAGCTTCTGGAGAGTGATTGGGAATGAAGATCCAGAGGTAACGCGTCTCTTAACCAAGCCAAGGGAAAGATAATTTGATGGAAGTAGATAGATTCCTTTGGTCATTGCCTTTCCTTTCCTATCACATCCCATCCTGAACTGGTGAAGGGAATGGAGATGTGGGAAAGAGAAAGGAGAGATGACATGAAGCACATGATGTGAGAGAGAAAGAGATTGACCATGACCTGTCTCCTTCATGTCGCCAGTTCTCTATCTGCATCTCTATGTCACATTCACATTTTATTTGTGATTACATGGTAACGCAGCACGCCGCTACAACCAAGCACACACACCCTAAAGGCCAAAAGACGACTCATCACAGACTTCACCAGATTCAGAAAACTCATCAATCTCCCACAGTCCGGACAACCAAACACACACCCTAAAGGCCCAACACCACTCATAGATGAGGTTTCCCTCTAAACACCAAACCTAGGTCCGCCAGTACGGAGGTTAGAATAAGGTTACCCTTTTCTGTAGTCTCTTTTAGTGGAGGAACCCTCCCCCGAAAAAGGGTACGAGGGCACTACTGGGGGACCTAGACACCGACTTCTCACCCCACGTCATCTGATGTCCGGCGTTCGGAAAATCTCAGCCAGCCAGCGGCCAATGAAGAAACAGTGACAAGGCAAATCCCACTGTGAGCTGATGGTCCAACAAATGCCCAAACTTTTGCGTAAAACGACATCTTGATTTTGGGGTCATGGACCCATTTTTCAATTGTTCTGGAGACTGAAATGGTCCAGATTCAAAGAGTTTAAAGCCCGAAACGGAACTCAGGAAGTGAGAAATTGTTAAAGAGCAATAATAGGCCTGCAAACTCCTTGGACGAGTGGGCTCCTGTTGATTGATCTGTAAAGGGAAATCCACAGGAAACCTGCTTTACGGGTTCCTATTTCTCACTTCCGTGGATGGGCCCAAGAAAGTCCAAGCATTGCCTTTACCACCACAATTTTCAATGGTCTTCCTAAACAGTGACTAAAGTCCGCTACGGGAAGTCACTGATTGAGATTCCTAGCTGTGGGACCTAGACCTAGACCCCTTTACCCTCCAGACTAACATGGAAGCTCCAAAACCACCCCTTAAGACTTGGCTCCAATCGTGGGAGCTTCTTGCTGTTACATTGTTGCTGTACCCCCCCCCCCCGGCAAACAAATAAACATAACCTTTTGGGGGGGTTATCCCCAAAAAGTCAAAGTCTAAAGATCCGTTGCCCAATAGCAGTCAAGCTGGTCCCTCCAAACGGGTTTCAAGAAATTGGCTGAGGAATTGCTCCGCAAATCAAATAGCTGGAAGCCCCTTTCTTTGGGCCGAGAAACAACCTCAAGGCCTTCTTAAGATACACCCCAAACACGCCAAACTTTCATACACCTCCTCTAGCTATACACATTCACACACCTTTTGTTTACGAAATTTGGAGCCCCGAAAGGCCGTTTTCTTCTCGGTCAAACGGCGTTTGTGGCCTGTGTTTTACCCGTAAGGTTGATTTGTTTCGGTAAGTTTCCTCATTTGCCCCTATTTGGCGGTACCAAAACTTGCATGTTGTCGATCACATATTGAAAAACAACACGAAGAAACAAAGTACTTGGCCCTATGGCTCCATCTTTTTCGGGCAACGCCTTTTGACCAAAAAAAGAACAGCCTTCTGGGGCTCCAGGACTGCAAACATGCAACACACAAATGTGCCGACCTCACGTTCGATCAAGCCTTTTGACACGCAGGCTCCCCTTCGAACTCTGGAAGCTAGGCGCCCCCGGCCGGCGAGGAGGCCGCTCGAGCCTTGGCCTGCGGTTGCTCCGGTTGTTCCGGTTGCTCCGAGCTCGCGAACGCGAAGCGACTGGTTCGGTGCTTGGGGCCTAACACCCCCGCATTTCCTGGAGCCTTTACCTGCAGTCTCCTTCTGACCCTTTGAAACTGATTGGTCATAACCCCTTTGTTTTGGGTCATGACCCCATTTTTGCAGGGTCATGGTGGCTCCAGGTATATATATATATACATATATGTTGAAGCCCACAGAGCGGCAGCAGCTCACTGGTGGCCGCCGCAGGGGAACGCATGCTCAAGGCTAGAGGGAAAAGGCGCGCCCCATGGTTCGTGATCCCCGGAGGGATTAGGGAGAATCTCAACATTGGTAGCGGGGCACCTGGTGAATTTTGCTAACCGAACCCGAGGACGGGCTCCAGAACACAGAGCGACCTCATGGCGGTCAACGCCACTGAGGGTGGTCCTCTTCGCTTCTTTGCCGGAAACAATGAGGACGGCAGTGCGCGAGAATACAAGCGCTGGAAGGTATGGGTGCAGAACAAGCTCCTCACCATGGGCGACAAGATCCCCGACACCGCCCATGGTGCCTACGTCCACACTTTGCTCTCTGGCAAGGCTTTGGAGTGCGTGGAGCACTTGGAGCCCAGTGAATATCAGAAGAAGGGTGGCGAGAAGGTGATCTTCACGATCTTGGACCAGCGCTACCCTGAGCAGGAGAAGGTCGATGAGCTGGGGGAGATGCTTTCCGAGGTATTCGCCCTTCGTTCGCAAGAAGGCGGGAGCCTCCGGACTTGGGCTTCCTGTGCCACCGAGATTTTCGACCGGTGCCATCGAAAAACCGGCGTCACTTTTCCCGAGGAGGCCAAGGGCTTGGTGCTGTTGCACTGGTCGGGCCTCAATGATGAGCGGAAGGCGGTGGTTCGAGCTCGAGCTCAAGGTGATTTGAGACGAGCTGCGGTAGGTGCTGCGCTTCGGTCCTGCTTCCCAGACTTTGTGTTCCCTAAGAAGAAGCACTTTGGCATCAACTTGGCCGAGCAGCCACCGGAACCTGAACTTCCTGTACCTTCTGAACCTCCACCAGATTTTGAGTTTCAGGACGTGGAGCAGTTCTTGGCCGAGAACCGGACCGCGAGGAGTTCGCCGAGGACGACGTCCGTGAGGTCCTTGCAGCAACCTGGAAGGAGAAACGAGCCGAACTGAATCGCCTCCAGAAGGAGCATCAGTTCAGCCGGACCAAGGGGGTCAAGCGCAGCTTCCGGATCGAGGTGGAGGAGCTCAAGAAACGCACCAAGTGCAACAAGTGCGGCAAAATTGGCCATTGGGCCAGAGAATGCCGTTCCAAGGTGTCTACGTCTTCTCGCCCGGCATCTTCAGCAAAAAATCCTCGAGGAACAGGTGGTCCACCGTCTGGAGCAGGCTTTGTGGAGAACTTCATCGCCATGGTTCACACCCAGGTCTCCATGCTTGATCGCCTTCGTCTCCATGGACAGGACCTGAGCTTGGTCCCGAGGAGCTCTTTAGCTCATAGCCTCTGTTTGGTCTCCAGCCCCGGCTTTGGAGCTGGATTCGGGCTGCGGTCGGTCAATCATCGGTGCCGACACCCTGATGGAGTTTGAGAAGCTGTGGCAACAGCGTGGTTTCAACATCCCGGAAAAGGTCACGGAGATCCACCACTTTCGCTACGGCAACGGTGAGCAAGAGACTAGTCGGCTTTCAGTCAAGATGCCGGTGGTCATTGCAGAACGATCGGGTATCATCAAGGCAGCCATCGTCAAAGGGCGAGCTCCTCTCCTGATCAGCCGAGTCGCCCTCCGAGCCTTGCAGGCCAAGATCAACTTCCATGAGGACTCCCTCACCATTTTTGAGGACCAGAAGGTGATCCCACTGACCACCAACAGCGCCGGTCAGTATGTTCTCAACCTTCTGGATGATGGCCCAAGCGATCGGAAGGAGTCTTTCGAGGTGATGGTCACATCAGATCAACCCGCAGTTCCGCTCGCCGATGATGCTGCAAAGAGTGACCCCAACGTCTCCGTCTGGACCCGCGAGGACTGGGATCTGGTAAGAGCCACCACTTCCAAGAAGGGAGGCCCTCCTTGGAACTGTGTGGTCCGTAGGAGAATCCGAGATGCTGATTCTGGTTGTGTGATTTCGGATGACCCTAGCGTTCAATCTAAGACTGGTCATGATTTGTATTTTCCATTGCCCAAAGCTGTGAAACACACACTGACGGAGTTGCACTTTCATAAGCCAACTTCCGTGCCAGAACTGCCCACTGGTCGAGTGAGTGACGTGCTTAGCTGCCATCAGATCCGGCAGCTTTGATCACAGTTGAAGCACCCAGCAGCTAAGGCTCGTGAGCATCACAGCAGTGACACGCATTACCATGTGATCGAAGTGTTTTCACCACCACGCTTCGCCCCAGTTGTGCAAGGCCAGGGTTTGAAAGCCCTGTCAGTCGATTTGCAGACCAGATGGGATCTGTCCAGAGCATCCGATCGTGCCGCCCTGGAGCAGCTGATTAGACAATCTCCACCCGAGTTGTTAGTGTTGTGCCCCCCATGCACGGACAAAGGAGGTTGGTTTAATCTGAATCGGCTTCATATGGACCCCATGGAATACCTTAGGCGTAAATCCCGAAGTAGGTCCTTCATAAAATGTTACACCAAGCTGTTCCGGATCCAGTGCGAAGCAGGTGGTAGGGCCGTGTTTGAACATCCCTCTGGTTCCCGGGCCTGGACATACCCAGAGATGCAGACCCTGTGCCGGCGCTATCACCTGGTGAAATGCCACATGTGCAGATATGGTTTGCGGATTCCTTCTAGCAAACACCTGATCAAAAAGAGTACAAAACTGTTGGTCAGTCATGCCGACATGGGTCAGCTTGCGCGTGAGTGCCCCGGTGTCCAGGATGCGGAACACGAGTGTCACGACACCATTGCAGGTACTCATCCCACAATCGGCTCTATCAGCACGTTTGCTGGAAAGTATACTCGTGAGTTTGTTGAATCCGTGTTGCAGACGGTTCCATCACTTGGTTTCCAGGAGTCCCTAGTGGTTGTTCACGACCAAGCCTCATCAATTCAGCTTGAAGAAGTCTTGATGAATGCCCGTGACACTCGAGGCAAATCCGATGCAGAGCTTTTGCCCGTGCTCCAAAAGTTGCACAGAAACTTGGGTCATCCACCAAATCATGACCTGGTTCGCTTGTTGAAGCACGGCAATGCCTCCGAGCAGGCAATCCAGTTGGCTTGCACGTTCACATGTGATTTCTGCCGGAGTCATGCCAGGCCAAGTGTAGCTCTACCCGCACAACTAAATAAGGTGGTTGAGTTCAATCATCAAGTCGGCATGGATGTAAAGCATTTACCCGGTTGGCTCCCCAATCAAAAGATCAAGGCACTCAATGTTGTAGATCAGGCCAGCTGCTTCCAACGCATGGTACCTTTGAGGGAGAAACCGGCAAAGTGCTTCGCAAAATCATTGGATCTCATGGGCTGGGGTTCCCACTGAGATCGTGTTGGATCCTGTCCAAACCAACTTGGGTCAAGGCCTCATGGAGCCCACCGAGATCCAAGGCACGGTCGTTCGGCAGATTGCCGCAGAAGCTCACTGGCAGCTAGGCCGTACTGAGAGCCACGGAGGCTGGTTCAGCCGTGTGTTGGAGAAGCTCATCTCCGAACATTCCCCTCGAAACCAGGAGGAGTGGCTGGAGTGTGTTGCCCAAGCTCACATCAAAAATCTGATGATCCAGGTTTACCCTGAGGATCCGATATTGAAAAAAAATCAATATCGATTTTGTTTTCAATCGCGATTGAACTTGAAAAAAACCAATCCACAGATTGTTTTTCTCAAAATTTAAGATTGGTCATGTTAACCAATGTGGATCAATATCGGAGACCAATGTGGATCAATATGTTTTATGTTGTTTCAAGACTGATCAACATTTTGCTGCCTGCAGCATACCCTGCTCAAGAAGCTCTGCTAGAGAAGACAAGCGCTTGAAAGAACACGTATACGTGGCTTGAAAGAAAGCTTGCTGAAGGTGGCTTGCTTGAAAGAAAGCTTGCTTAAGGTGGCTTGTGGGCATCAGCACAGGTGAAATCCAAGGTGGCCAGCTGAAACAAGCAATTTTGAATTATGGTCCGAGAAAAACATTGCTGCATCTGCTGCCTGAGAGTGTGTAGACAGGGTAGGTCAGTTTCACCCAAAGACAAGTGCAGCGAAAATACATAAATATTTTTCTTTAAGCAAATACTGAATACCAAGTTTTTTTTAAAAAACACCGACAAGCAGTACCAACCATTTTGAAAGTGTAATTTATCAAAAAAAAACATGATACCCATATGTTTATATAGAAATGAAAGACACCCATAATTTTACTGACAACATGATATGTTTTTTGGGAATCTTTGCATTTTTCAACAAAAGCCAGTCAGTTTGCATGTTGTCTGCAACACTTCAGTGTTCGAAGCCACTTGCGCTCAAACCAGGTTTTTGAACCACCACTCACCAGTTTTAAACATCACAGGGAAGCAAACTCCATGAGCCACTAGGATTCAAAAAACATTTCCCACCAACAGCCATAGCTCACCAGCACCAGCAAAATAACATTTCCCACTAGCACCAAAGTCACACAGCAAAACACAAGCACTAACTGTTACTTTTCAGGATTTCCAGCGATTAAGGCTTGAGAGAAAGCCTTTCATAGTTTTTCCGGCGCAAGGCTTGAAAGAAAGCTTGATGGGTTGGTGGGGAGACAAGAAGTGGAAAGGTGGTGGGTGGTCCTACAAAGACTGGAGGTGGGACCAAGAGCAGGAGGGAGAATGGGATGAGGAAGAGGAAAGGGAGCGGGCCCACCGCTCAAAAATGGAAAGGTGGGATAAGCAAAGTGACAGCAGTGACAACTCTTTGAGGAGGCTCAGGGAAATTAGGCCAAGAAGGCCTGAGGAAGAGGATGAGGAGGAAAGAAGGCCTGAAAGAAGGCCTGACAAAAAGTTTGGGCCTCAGAAAAAGAGCAA